CCACATACGTGCATATATTGTACACTTATTTAGCACATACAGTATACACACATACATGGTATTCTCTTTACCTCTATCCCTCCCACCCCAACCTCAAATTTAACTACAAACCCCCTACCACATCACCAAGAGTAAGCATGCGATTGCCTAGATATTTTTACTGCTTCTTTTGCTTAGTTAAATGTGGCACGACATGCAAGATGCCTCCACACAGTGCATAAACTTTATCTGATAACAAATTTACTGCCCACTTTTTAAAAGAGAAACATAAATAAAACATTTCCTTTTAATTAAAGAGTTACAATTCAATTAATTTTCCATAGGACGTGAGTAACTCTATCAGCCTTGACTAATACAAGACCGCAAGGGCAGCCAGTTGTACTGGAGAAACATCTAGGTGATACCTACAGTCTTTAAAACATCTACCTGATCCTGTCTCAGACAGCTGCTTGCCCTGCTACTTTCTAGATATGCCCCTGCTCAAGTGTGGCAGGAATATCCCCCTCCTTGTGGAAATAAAAAACTAATCAAATGCCTGCTAAACATCCAATGTCACGCTATGCAATTTTCCAATCATCAAGCATTTACTCATAACAAAGTCAGTTATTCTTGTATCCATTGTACTGTTACCTGACGCAGATTCCTGGTTACTTTCACATCATGCCAGGCATTGTCATTAAATTTCCCATTCACAGGTTCCACCAGCGCTTCAAAGGCCCCTGAGCCCAAATTAATGACCAAGGAGACAGCTCCATTTTTCAGTGCAAGATTGACATAATCAGCCGATTTTCCTGTGTGAAGCATCAGTCCATTCCTCTGAAGTGTTTTAAATGACAGAGTTATTTCATCACTGCTACTCTGTATGGGATTCTGAGATAAATCATAGCAGAAGTATTCTGATCCCTTGAATGTTGCAATATATTCTTCTTTTCCTAACAAACAGAAGGAGAGAAACAAACACATAAATCACCAGCACATAATTAAAAGCAACTTGCACAAATTATTTTCATAGCTAACTGAATGGTATTACTATAAGCATTGTATCAAAAAAGTAATTAATTTAAAACACTTAAAATCCATAAAGAAAAAAGAGAACTCTAAGACTTACTGTGAACATATTTTAAAGTACTTTCTTACAGAATTTTCACAGGTATGATTAAGCTCGGAAAATACACTACATCAGCAAAAGTGTTAACGTTATTTAAGCAATCTGATCTAGAACACATAAATACAGAACATTTAGGTGAATTTGCAAACCAAAGCCTTATTCCATTCAAAACACAAGCCTTTTCGTTACTCCATTTCAAAACACAACCTAGATAGCTGAAAAGGCTTTGGCCTAAGTTCTTGAATAAACCAAAACTACAAACCACTCATTTAAGAGTCTACCTCATTCAAACCTGCACATAGCACCATGCAGGAGAGCAAGCTAATATGCATCAGTCTAACATGCATCAGGTTTTTTCTGGGATTTTCTTTTACAAGCCAGTATGTACCAGATGGGTTATTTTCTTAGTTTATCTTGAAGGTGAGAAAGAAACACAAATAGCAGAAGCTAAGCACTCAGTCTCATCAGAAAAGCAAGTATAACATATATGGAGATTATGTTTTCCCCCTCAAGTCCTACAGAGGAACACAGATGCTGACATTATACTACATGTGTATAGAGTTTAGGGTTATATGAAGTCAGGATTCATTTGTTTAGCTAATAGTAAGTACTAGTAACATTTCAGTGGAAACCTGTACTTGCTGGTGTAGTATAAGGATGAAGGTATGAAGACCTGAAGATGTCAAACTCAGACTCCAGAATACAGCTACATACATCAGTCTACAGTACCATTAGCAAAACCCTCAAATATATGTATAAGTATACAGATAAAGAAAATAACAACAGTGTGAATTTAAGAGACCAGTGAATGCCAAGGCGTGCAAAAAGTAAGTGTGAGAACACATTTTTTTGAGAAGTCCCAGGGCATAGCTGCCTTCTGTTGTTCCATGTCATCTGCTTATGACCCCCTACAGCAGATTGTACATTAACACCAATGCTGGATATTTGCAATGCTTCTCTTTAGGCAGTAGAGCATAGTAAGTTTAGATAGTACTGCAAAGTAACTTTAGATAGGACTCCAGGACAGCAATTTTATTTTGGTGTAATTTTGCTTTGTAATAAGAGTATTAAAAATTGTTGTTCCGTATTTATTTTGAAGCGCTGTCTCACAGATTTCATGAAGAATTATTTGGATTTTTCTTTCAGTGGCAGCCGCCAAATCATACTAGACTTACATTTATTGGTTTTTTTGCAATTTACTACATAAATTGCAAAATGACTTTATCTAATATGCTCTGTATACAGCCCAAAGCAGGCTTCAGCCCCAAATGTCCCATGTATTTAATGACTGTAACAGGAAAAGCTGAAGGACATGAGTGAATTGACATGCAAAATATTAGTGTATACATATTTTACACCGTAAACTACTTCTGTAAAGCCAGATCATTCACACAGACATGAAAACGCATGGGAGTGTAAATGCATGCTAGGCACATATTCTTCAAAATTATTGCTAAAGAAAGGACTGAAGAAGCAAGCAGGAGCATTCATCCAAGCAAAATTATAATCTCAGACTGAAAATAGAATCACAATTTACAGAAACTTGAAAAAGCCTTTAAGGTTGTGTTGAGTTAATCTTGGTCAGCTACCAGATTCACACCCAGTCACTCTTTCACTTCCCCTCCTCAATAGGACAGGGGAATAAAATAACATAAAAATGCTCATGGCTCAAGATACAGGCAGGGAAGTCTCTTGCCATTTGACATCACTGGCAAAACAGAGTCAACCTGGGAAAAACTAACTTGTTGCAACTAAAATAGGTTTGGATGGTGGGAAACTAAATTTAAAACTTTCCTGTCCCTGCCTTTTTCGACAGCCTCAACTTCATTCATATCACTCCTTCAATTCCAACTCCTCTACCTCTCCCCACTCTGCCCTGAGCAGCACACAGCAGTTGTGGTCAGTCCATAACAGCTCTTCCGTGCTGCTCCTTGCTCCTCACACTTTCCTCCAGTCCAGCAAGGGTCCTTCCCACGGCTGCAGTCCCTCAGTATCAGCCTGCTCCAACACGGGCTCCCCACAGGACACAGATATTTCAGGAAATCTCCAACCCTCTCCAGTGTGGGGTCTTCCATGGGCTACAGTGTGGACACTTACTCCCCCAAGGTCTCTTCTCCATAGGTTACAGCAGAATCTCTAGCTCCACCATTTGCAGCACCTTCTCCCCATCCTCCTTCTCTCATGTTGGTACTCACAGGGCTGCTTCTCACACATTTTTTCATCACTTCTTACTCCTGTGAAGTGGTTTACCCTTTCTTACGCATCCCGAGATGCGCCCCACTCATGGCTGAGGGGCTCAGCTGTGTCCTGCAGTGGGGCTGTTAGAGCTGGCCATGTCCAGCATGGGGCAGCCTCAGACTCTCCTCACAGAAGCTTGGAGGATAACCAAGCGAGCAGGCCTAGACAACATGGGTTCAGGAAGGGTAGGTCCTGCTTGA